TCATAGACAATCTTTGACAATATACTATGGGACAATGTAGTTTCAAGAACGTTATATAGACATTGTACAACTTTTCCACGTGAATATTCATCCCTTTTCAATGTTGCGTTGATGCCAGTTGACGTCTCGTTTGCGATGTGTCCATTTTTTGTGACATCAACATTGAACGGGGGGCGCGGGGGGAAATGGACAGAAGAAGTTATACGAACTTCCACTATTTGTCTCATAGTTTTTGGCGAAGATTGTAGATTGGGTTTTTGTTTGATGTTTGTGGTTTATTTCGATTTGGGATTCGTGCCGTTTATAAAGAATAAGAATATAAAGAACAGATCAATATTGAATAGAGCTGTCTACTTTTGTTGTCAGTTGTTGATTTTTAAAAACAGAATATAATTAGCAACGGAATTACAGTAAAATTAGCCAAATCACTTCCACAACGTCACTTCCGTCACTAGTTGTTGCGGTACACATCGTCATCCTTGTTTCAAGGCCCTTGCAGCCGCGTGCGACTGCCAAAGGCCCTGGATTATGTTATTCCGGAACTGCACATTCTGTGCACTATTTTGCAATGCGCATGCCTGGTAATCAATAGCTCATTAAGTATTCACACACTCGAAATGAAAGTAAACTTTATTTGGAGTTGGCAATAGAATAAATAGAATATACTCTGCTGAAACTTGGAAGAGGAGAATTAACGCTTTATATCGGATAATAGAAACCTATAGCATTAGCGACAAACCGCTAACCGGCAACGGCAAATTTTAATTCGCATTTGAAGGAAGGTTCTACCACCTTTCACAGTCGTGTACATGTAAGTACTTAGTTTATGTTTTAAGTTTACTGCACCAATTTCCCCATATTAAAGCCAACAGTTTTCTTGAAAATAAGATTTAAAGTTTGCGGTTAGAGATTTGTCGTAAACGTCAAATTAAAGGTCTCTGTTGTATGAAGGAAATGACGAATAGCTGTTCTCCCCACTGGTTTTGGAAGTCCCTTGTTTATAAAATGCTAGCTCATATATTTGGCTACCTAAATTGAAATTCACCTCTGGGACTAAATGTTCTAATTCAAGATTAAGCGTCCAAATTGACTCTCAGCTTGTCCAGTATCGGCAATACAAGTATAAATACTAAACAACACTGTAGCAAGATTTATATTCAGGTTGCTTGGGCTTTTAAATAATATACAAATAAATATTGCGACAGCATTTGTCAAGAAAGACACTATATATAGTAATTTAGCAATTGGGATAACATTGAGAGAGATTGTTCGAACATAATATATTTATGTCAGATATTTTATATTTTCCAGCCAGAACTTTTGACCCGCGTATAGTGCATGAGCTTTGTGTACTTTCCAGCTATTTACGGGACGTTCTTATCCCCGTTTATGCCGATACGGTCGAATACGGTCATGAAATCATGCTATACCGTATCGTACACATCAAAATCTTGATTCTTATTTTAAGAAATTAATTACTTAATTTAAGTTCATTATTACATAAAACAAGCAAAACCTTACTTGTCCGTATAGTGAGAAATCTTTATTTACCAAGAACTGATTGAAATTCTTAGCAAGAGTATTTTTTTGTTCAAGTAACCAAGTGCTTGAAATTGGAATTTTAATTAATTTTTCAAGAAAATAATTACTAGTTTTAAGAACATTGTTACTTAATTCTAGAAAGAAATTACTTGTCCGTATAGTGAGCAAGTTTTTACTTACCAAGAATTGACTAAAATTCTTAATTACTAAGAAATAGTTTTCTTAACAAGTAATCAAGTGCTTGAAACGAGGATGTTAATTCTTATTACAAGAAAATAATTACTGGTTTTAAGAACATTACTTAATTCTAGAAAGAAAATACTTGTCCGTATAGTGAGAAAGTTTTTACTTCCAAGAATTGACTAAAATTCTTAATTACTAAGAAATAGTTTTCATAACAAGTAATCAAGTGCTTGAAACGAGGATATTAATTCTTATTTCAAGAAATTAATTACTAGCAAGACTATTTTTCTTAACAATGAATTTAGTCCTTGAAATGAGTCAGTATTTCAATTCCTATTTCAAGAAGTAGTTTTAAGCATGTTATTATTTTAATTTAGTAATAATAGCGAGGATAATTTATTTGTCTCAAGCAGTAATTCGATCTCTTTTCAAAACTATATCTGGTTTTTGCCTGCTCTTATCAGTATCTTAATAAGGAAGTCCTGGTCAAATACATAGCTATATCAGGCTAACAAAGATTTCTAGAAATTTTTCCATGCAGGACATTAATTCAACACAATGCATGAACGAGTCTATAGGCGAATACATATATTTTATAAAAAACAAGAATTATTGATATAACGGTATTCCCCTTTACACTTGTCAAAATTGAAAACACAAATTGTCTACTAATTATATATATAACACAGTCACAATCTACACCTGAACGCGATTGAAGATTATTTTTTCTTGGAAAAAATATGATATTATATACAGTACGAAAGTCTTGGATATACAGTATATGCCAATGCTGGTTAAGCTATTGAATCTAAAATACACACATACTTTTTCGTTTGTTTACTCGTACTAGTCTCAGAATGTTAATTACCAAATTGTCATGACCATCACTCGATATTTACAAATAGAAAATATTCTATTCACTTACCAAGAACTAACATGGTTATGCCCGTACGTTCCATCTAAAAATAATTTATTTACATATCCCTGTTATACTCTTCTAGCTTTCAAACGTAGCTTCAAACCATATCTCGTCAGTGTATGCTAACTTTTTCATGCTCGACAATGCTCGACGACATAACATTAACAACATTTCGGAAGGTTGGATTTCAAATTTGATTTTGAAGACGTTTTTACATTTCAGCATGTCGATTTTAGAATAGAATAATTAGAATAATTTATTTAATGTCGAATGACACAGAGTGTGGTTGCCCAATCACTCGAGCCAGGGGCTCATGATAGAAGTGCTCGACGATGCTCGACTATTTAGCGTAATGGTATGTGAACATTTGTCAGTACTGGAAGCATAGACATCTTAGTTAAACTAGGTAGCGTATCTCTTTTAGTAAAATTGAAGCCAAGAATATTCCAGCGGTTACCCTCATTTGTATAGATGGTGGCCATGTTGGTCGTTCCCACTTAGTAATAAACGCTTAAAAACAACAATAACTTTCATCTTTCGAATAGTTTAAAATGTATTTGGAATAGGGTTAACGTAATGTTTAAGTTTCCTGTTTAAAAAATAGAAAACATACGAATCTTCTCATTTCATGGGAACGACCTGAGACCGCAATCATGGCTTCAATTTTTGAATTGCAGAGTAATTAGATGCACTATCTAATGTATATAAGATATCTATGACTGGAAGACGATGTTGAGCTAAAAACCGACGTTTCTTGCAAAAATTATTATTTTAGTAAGTTATAACGGCAAATTGTAATAACATTAATCTACTGTTTGTTTACGATCGCGTTTCTGAGTGCCAGGCCTCGAAGCAAATTTAAGTCTTATTTTAACAATAAACGGTTATTTCTGGCAAGTAAAAATTTACTTGCTTTTTCTTAGTATGTGAATTTGTGCTTGTTTTACGCAAATTATTGTTCTTGGTAAGTAAAAATTGTTTGATTTCTCATTTCAAATCCCAAGTTGTTTCTCGTTTGGTGAATTTATGCTTATTTTTGCTGCCAACTGCAGCGAGGCAGCACCCTATTCTTGTCACGTGGTGGTTTTTCCAGAGTCCACTCGACCCAGTCTTCCGCGCGATCTATGTGTTGTCGAGATCTCGATTTGTGTTTGTCTGTATGACGTCTGTTAAGATGATTTCCGGGATGAATAATTAAGCTTCAGGATTTTTTTTTAGACGAGCTGGGCGGTCAAACTTTATTTTGTATTTGCAAGCAGTTTTAAACTTTTAATACGAGACCATATGAGTTTATATGTTGGATTGAAAACGAATATCAAAGAATAAATCAGGTAAGAATGGCTTTATTTCTTTCTGGTGATATAAATGAAGGCGTTTAATATATTTAGATCTGCTAGCTGTTTAGCATTCGATACAGAGGTATTGAAACATTATTTCATGATGTCAATAATGTCTTATTTTATACACAAGTAGTGAAAATGCACTTTGAGTTTATTTGTTGTGTGGCGTCGATGTGCCAAGGCGATGAGTTTATAGTGTTCATTACAGATGTTTATAGCAATGGTGCTTTCAGTACGTTTTAAAAACAAACGCGGACTGTTACAGTATATACTTGTGCACGTACTCAGGCTTTATATTAATAAGATTCCTATAGCAACCCAGTGTGGGGATTGTTGTCTGCATATAGCCTATCAACTTACCAGGCTACCAGAAGTTACATGCGAATAGCATGTCAACCGACGTTTGTACAAGGGTATCATGCATGCCTGATGGCCTGTTTACAGTATATCTCTCCCGTACGAAAATATTCTATAGAATATTACATTGAAATATTCTATGGAATATTCTATGAAATATTCTAAAGGATCTTGGAACCTATTCTATGGGATATTCTATGGTATAGTCTATGGGATATTCTATTGGACATTCATTTGAATTCTATAGAATATTCTATGAAATAGTCTAAAGGATTTTTGAACCTATTCTATGGGATATTCTATGGGATATTCTATTGGACATTCAGTTGAATTCTAAAGGATATTCTATAGAATGCCCTATAAAAAATTCTATAGAATATTGTATGGAATATTCTACTGAATATTCTATGGAACATTCAGTTGAAGTCTATACAATATTCTATAGAAGGTATGGACTATTCTATGTAACATTCTATATTAGATTCTATAAGATTTATAAAAGTTTCTATTATGAAACATTTATTAAAACACAATTACCATTGTATAAAGAATTTGTTTAATTATTAACTAAACATTAGTGAAACAGCTAGTTAATTAACCAATCAGAATTATATGTTTATAGCTACCATTGAACTACAGTAGGAAATGGGTATTTAAAAAGTAGTCACCAGCTGCAAGCCTTTTTACAACTGCCCCATGCCTGGCAACAATTATAGTAATTTTATTTGGTGGAGAATATCACTTGCATAAACTTTGCAGCATAGATTTCAATGTGCCTGGATTTCAATATTAAGTATAAACAGATGTAAATATCCAGGCTTAAATTAAAATTAAGTGCTGCCAACGGAACCAATGTACGTGGCATTGTCCACAAAACAAAATAACCATCATGCAAGAATTTAAAAAATTAATAAACCTTGGGCTAGTCAAACTGTTCTACAATTGCTCTACTTAGTGAATATTTTTAATAGAATAAGTGTTAATGTTACTATTATGTGCAGATACTTTCTTTTTTTCACAATATTGTTAATCCTTGTGTTCATCATTGTTAATCCTTGTGCATGGTCATCATTGATGCATATGGTCTTGAAGAAGAATACTGGCCATTTTGCAAGAGTCATAATTGATCTTGCAAGTTGGAAACAATATCTCTTAGGCATGGCATTACTATTTAAAAATGAAATATAAGTAAATTTTACCCATTAAGTTTCATTGCATCCTACTTTATTAGTTTACTCTGCCTAACACCAGAGAACTCTACTCTTCAAGGGGAGAACAGTTTTGCTGAATGGATTAACCCTTTCATGCACCCCATATGCCCAACTTTAGTATTTACTGTCTAACGCTCACTCTGTCTCATCGTCTGTTACTATGTCAGACGATGTTACTCGTCAAGGGAAGAGTTTTGAACATTAATGGGTTAACAAGACTATCTGCCATTATTTCCTGTTAACCCATCAATAATAAATTTAATATTAAATAAATCTTAACTAACTCAATTAATTAAAGACATATACAGTTGCCACGGCCCAGCATAGAGGTGTTTACAAGATCCAGACTGATTCGTCTGGCTTGAGGGGCCACCTTAGCTAGGCCAGTATATAATTTTGTTCATATAAAACACTAATTAAGAAGACTAGTTTGGCTACAGGCAAGGCTAAGATATTCTGTATCAATTGCAATAAACTTTGAACTGCTATTTTTACCTCACAACACCAGTTTGTCAACTTAATCCAGAAATTTCCAACTGCTGAGAACAATATTTGGAGCCGGGCTATAGCCCAGCTGCAATATTTAATCTAAAAATATACAAGGACAACATTTGAGGCTTTGTCTCAGTACTAGGTAGTGACTATATCCAGCTTTACAAACATATCATTTTATACACCTGGAGCTCATTAACCCATTCCCACATTTGAATTTTGGAAAATAATTTGCTGCAATTTGCAGCTTTCAACACTCTGAAAATATCACATCAATCCTTATATTTCAAGTATTAAAATGATAACAAATCTTAATAATATTAATATATTATTTCATATACTTTGACAAAGATCGCCTAGCAGTGCCAAATTATGCCAAAGGCAAAGACACTTTATATTTTAGATTGTTAAAAGAACAGTGCGCAATTTAGTATAGAATTCCCAATAATACAGTATATATTCGAATTCATATTTTATTCTTTCTTTCCTCGCTAGAAACCGAAATTTTGTATGTTTTATGCAAATTGAACGCGGCAAATTCAAATATTCAACAGAATATTTTCAGACACATGACTCAAGTAAACAATCATATTCACTAAATTAATTCGGAATTAAAAGTGCTTAAATAGCATCAAACCAAGAAAATATTCTTACCTGTGAGATCTGAATAACATTTTACGAACTTTCCAATGCCGTCTCCATCGTTTGGGCTGAAAATAGAAGGGAAAATTTCCCTTCAAATCCATCCATGTGTGAGTAATTTGAAATTGAAATTTTAAAACGACGCTATCCCATGACGCTTTGCGCCCTCACACGTAAACTAGGCACCAGGCTTCCAGTAATCTAGTCAATGCGCGAACTATGCGGCTTGCTGTATTTTATACAATTTATATATTAATCATGAGAAAGCATATTTTATATATCTCATTGAAGAAAACAAATGTACTCTGAAATAAGTATATTATTAAGTTATTATTAGAAAATATTCAAGAACAAATTGTCTTGAAAAGAACAAACTTATTTCAAGAACAAATTGTCTTGCAAAAAACAGATTTCTTATAGTTAATAATAAATATTTTTCTAAAATCACAATATTTTAATACACTGATTTTTTGCTGTGTACTAGGCAGTATAAATTAGGCTTAAATCGATATCAATTATGGGTTTATCACATTCTATGAAATAATCTATAGAATATATCCCATACTATTTCATTAGAAAATATTCTATACAGTATGTTATCGGATGTTTCATATGAATGTGCAATAGAATATTCTATAGGATCTGGAAGTTCTATAGAATATGGCAATAGAATATTCTATAGGATCGCAAGTCCCATAGAATATTCTATAGGATATAGAATATTCTATACAATATTCTATAGGATTCTATAGAACATTTTCGTAAGGGCCCATTGACATTGTTAAAGATGCAGTACAGTCCGTATGTAAAGAAAGGCTTTGTTTACATTTCGGTATCCAAAATATAGAATTTTATTCGACAACTAGTTATATTTTCATGATTCTAGAGTATACTAAAATAATAAATTATCAAGACACAACAATCAAGCTTTGCAAGAACATAAAACGAAATAAAACCTAAATAAACTGTTTGTATAAAAAGAAGGCTCCTTAATTTGTGCACATGCGCAGATCGGACTGTACAGCATCTTTAACATAATATGAAATAATCCAACCGACCTATACTCATACATTCACCTGGCTGTGTCATGCAATACATTTCCAGGTATGCTATTTATTCTTGGGTTTCACTAAGGCATTATGTAGTGAATCTGATGGGGGGTCAACCTCAAATGTATTGATGCTTATGCTGTATTGGTGTGAGATGAGAAGTGATACGAAATTCCATGTATTGCCACCAAACACAAGGCTAATACATAAAACGAACAATTGACTCACTCTGATAATTGTATTTTATTTTAGAGTTGTCTGAGTTGACCCCACGTCACTTCTGTGACGTCATATGAAACCCAAGAATATTCTTCGATAATGCTCACAATTTTTTTCTTATTATATAGTTTTGCGATTCTGACCGAATACAATCTCTGACTGAGAACAATGAATGGTGTCATCTGAAGCTGACATATTAATTAAAATAGATTTTGTCTCTCCATCAGATTGTTTGGTTGATTTGCAATAGGGAACGGGGTAGCCTTGAAGGTGCAAATGTAGATAATAATTGGGACAAAACTGGCTTAGTATTTCTACAGTGTGTCTCAAAAAAAGTGAACCCTTTTAAATTAAAATTAGCTATAACGTATAGTAGTAATTTGACAGCAATCTAATTTTATTGAATTAATAGTCGAGTAAGAACACAAGGAATACTGAATTTCTTTTAAATTTTCTAATTTTATTTCTTTGTGTTTTGTCCCATGAGTACAAGACCTTGTGTTCTTACCCAATCATTAATTCAAAGCAATTAGAGCTGTCAAATTTGAAAGGGTCTGAGACAAACATTGTATATGATATTATAAAGTATTCAGTGGCTAGCTAGCCATGGCAACTGGTCATGCTATCCTAATAAACCTGCATATTTGAATAATGCAAATAATTAAAATTTTTCATAGTATATGACCTTTTGGTATGGCTAGCTCTGCCACAGACAGTATTGTAATTATATATACAAAAGCAAGAAATTATAAGCATTGAAGGTATTCATAGACCTAAAAAAAGCATTCGATACGGTGGACCACAATATTCTTTTATCTAAATTGACAGCTTATGGAATAAAGGGTACAGCACACAAATGGTTTCAGTCATATTTAAGGAAGAGGCAGCAAATATGTAAAATTAACAAAAAAATGTCGGATATAAGAACGATTACCTGCGGAGTTCCTCAAGGGACAAATCTAGGCCCATTGCTATTTCTCCTTGATATAAATGATCAGCCAAATTGCCTTGTAACAACAAGCGCCACAATGTTTGCGGATGGTACAAGCCTATCATGTAACGGACTATCATCCGCAGATAGAGAGAGTAAACTGAATCACGATTTAGAAATAATTCACACATGGTTAACCGCAAACAAGCTGACTTTAATTAAATCGTAAAAAAACTGAATACATGATTATTGGCTCACGACAAAAATTAAATTCTATTGGCACAAATACTACAAACATATCAATCGCAGGCGAGCAAATAAGACGAGTTGAAAGCACAAAATCCTTAGGCATAATTATAGATGAACAATTAAAATGGGAAGAACATAACAATAAACAATGTAAAACAATCTCAGCAAGTATCGGAATGTTAAGAAGAGCTAGAGATTTTGTTACACAAGATGTTTTAATTACAATGTATAATTCACTTGTATTTCCTCACTTTACCTACTGCTCAACTGTGTGGCATGGCTTTCGCGCTGATCACATTAGTAAATTATATAAGTTACTGAAATCGAGTTTCAAAGCCATGTACTTCCCAGAGTGGCCAGAGTATCTAAAGCTAGAACGACAAACTTGCGTTCGAGAACTGCGCTCAACCAATGCAGTTAGACTAGTCGTGCCAAAAGAAACTGGAACGTTTCAACATAGTGCTGCGAAACTTTTTAATTCCTTACCTGAGAACATCAGGAATTGTACTAATTACAAAGTATTTTTAAAATTAACTAAAGAACTTTTATTCGAAAGAGCACGCCAAAACTAGTTTTTAATCCGAACATCGATTTTATCTAATTTCAACACTTAAACGTTATAGTCCATAGTTATAGAATAGAATATAGTATTTAATTGGTATTTTAACAGAGAAGAGCCATATGTATGGATCTGTTGAATAAATCGTTATTATTATTATTATTATTATTATTATTAAAAGGGCTGCTCGTGTAATAACAGGATCCAGTTACGACATACGATCAACTAACATTTTTGAAACCTTAAACTGGAGACCTATAAAAGACAACTTAGACGAGCGCGACCTTGTAATGATATTTAAGGCCCTTAAAGGTCTAGTGCCCGACTACCTAATGCAGACAATTAACTTGAACGAAAAGGGCAACTATCAATTACGTAGCAACAATAGAAATATTTACCTACCTAAGCCAAAGACAATTTTTTTAAAAAATAGCTTTCCCTATCGAGGAGCTATGAGTTGGAATAACTTACCTAATCATATTATTGATCAAGCATTAATAGAAGATGTCTCTGTCAACTCCTTTAAGAATGTCATAAAACCTATGTATGTCCTAATCCATTGGTCCTAATCTATAGTGTAATTAATTGCATCCATGTA